GATATCTTCGTATACAATGTGTATTGCTGATTATGAGGTCGTTGTGATGTTATACCTATTATACGAAGCTTTCAAAGCTAGAACCCTGGACCCAAGAACTGAAGAATTCGGATATCTCCTTAAGGCAGGTAGGTACATGTAGGCTCCCGTTTGCCTGTACATCTCCTCGGACCAAAGTTTGAAACGCCCTCGTGTTTTTGTATGTATGTATGTGAGCTTAAGCCTAAAAGCAAGGACGAAGTCTCTTGGCACGCGACTTTAAAGTTCGCCAGCATGCATGTACATGAATAACGATGGGATGTAGGTAGTCAGCGGTCCGCTACCGTCTGCACTGAACGCCCTCGTGTTAGTAGGAAGTCTTGGGTCGATCTGTATTCGACACTGTACTGCCACAGCACACTCTCCTGTTGCAGGACTCGACGATACGATAGAAATCAAAATGCTGGTACTGGGATCGCATTAGTTATAGGGTGTTGAGTCCTAGATCCGTGGTAAGATATGCATCTTCTCGTATAGACTAGATAGGGTGAAGTAGAAATGTTGAATGTACGTGGCTGGATGTATCCCGAGATGTCTTGCTGAGTCTGCATAGCTGGCTATTGGAACTCGATTACGCTATGGTAGATGCTGTTTTGCAGCTGCTAAGCTTAATACGGTACATACTTGCTTCATGGAGCCTGTCAAGTAATTTGGCACTTCGAACTTCTTTTTACTTGTATGTTGGATACGTCTTATGATCTGTTACAGTTCCCACTAAGGGCATAGCCCAGGGAACCGGTTTGCGCGATATCGGGTGATTTAATTGGGTATTTAACGTTACGTTGTTACTTTCAGCCAGCAAACAATATGGAGTTAAGAATGAACTGGTGTAGTTGGTGAAACGGATCGATTAGAAAGGTTTACTTACATTTGTATTAGCCTTTCTACTTTCGTAGCTTAGGACTTGACAATTCAGATGCTTATATAAGATAGAAGGATACAGTCTCGCCGTAAGCTATTACTCACTACATAGTATTATGACTATCATGGAGAGATAATTTATTAGACCTATTTTTGAAACCCACGTGAAATCGTATGATTACGTGATTTCCTAGCCTAAACATCCATGTTCAAAACTATGCCAACGAATTTGTTTTTTATTCTTTACAATATTGCAAAGAAAATAAATAAAGTGAAAGACTTTATAGGTGTCACAAGGGCTAGAGTACTAGGGCTTGGAAGGGTATTTAATATTGTAATAATCTTCTTGGGCATCAAGGAGGCATAGGAGTCTAAGTTCCTCTCTCGAGCCCAGCGGCGAATCTAGGGTTTTTATATACGAATAGGTTCGTTCTCTGCGAACCCAAATCACTCCAGTAAATCCAGATTATCCAGATCAGTCAAGTCCATATTGCAATTATCGTGTTTGCTTGAGTCCACGATAATAGCAAACATGATATCCAAGAATAGATACGCCTTGCAGATTGAGTACAGGATATCGCCGACCAGACCCTTACCCAAGGCTGGTCTGTGTGACAATAGGCAAAATATATCTTCCAACCATAGGTTGTTGATGACCTAAACGTATTGATAATGTTGAAATTTGTATCGAACTTCTGCTCTGGAATTTAGAAATTAGAAGCGTTGAAGAGACGATCGCCCTTCAATAGCCAGAGGCAGCTAATTTAGCGATCTCACGCGCCGCAATATGTTGACCAGGGTCTTTCTGCGCAATTTCACTAAAGTGTTTTGCCTTACTTCGAATAGCATCGCCAGAGGCGTTGCCTAGAATTGTAGCGAATGCGTCACGGAGGCAGGCGGTCGTCCACTGTAGAGCTCACGGTCAATGACAACTTATTTAGGCATAATCTTTAAGTGTTTTGGAGATATCTGGAGCTCCGTGAGATATCGTCTGGCCTTGAAAGAAAGCATTTTACGGTAAAAGTAGAAGAGGAACTGTTACCGAGATAATTACTTACCCAGGGACTCGCGTCTGGGCAGCCCCAGATACCAACACCGACGCTCTGGGCCAACTGTGCAAAGCTATAATTATCTAGCCACTGCGGTAATACGAGCTGGGGTACACCGGTTCTGCGTGCCATAGATATCAGTATCTTTCTTCAAGCTCACACGGAGGATGTTGTGGTTATATTTACGCGAGGGCTTCGGAATAACATCCAGCACCGCCGTGGTGGACCGAAGCGACGATGTGCCCAGTCTCCAAGAGGGAGACTGGTTGAACCTCTAACCACGACTCTATCTTAAGCCGTCCGTTCTCGAGGTAAGGACGTAGCGGAGTCATAAACTCATCCCCGTACGTCGTCCCTTTGGCGTCGTACGGGAGCTTCATGAACTTCCATAGGACCTGCAAATCTGACCTCCACGCCAGTGTGTCCGCAATCGCTTGTGCCACTAAGGAATAAAGTGTAAGAAGTTGCCTCTTAAAGCAAATTTCTGACCGTTTCCTTGGGAAAGGGGGAGAGGGGAGGAGCATGCATGGGCTTTGCCTAGAGGGAAATTCAGAGGATATAGTACTACATACTGATCGTGGCGTGGCTCTCCGTCCACACGAACATGCTACCGAGGCTAACGAGCACGGTCGGAGCGCGGGCCAGCCACTCGGTCAGGACAGGGACTTGCTTTTCGGCAGGTGTCATTGAGAGTAGGATCGGTCCGGTGAGTGTGACATTCTGCGGAAGTACGTCAACCGGTATCGATGCCCCAGGAAGGGCTTGTGTGAAGTATGGCGTGTCATCGTTGCGGATATTGTACCAGTTGACTGAGTCAGCTAGCCCGTTTGAGGCTATATACTTCCTCGTTTCCGTGAAACGGGATACGTGAAGCATAGCATAGTAGTATTGTATGTTTATGTATAAATTCTCTAGAAATTTCGCCCATGGAACCGGAAATGGTATGCCGGAGCCCATTCTATACGACAATAAGTTTGACATCCAACGTGGTACATTAAACGAGTATGAGGAGGTGGAGGCCACCTAGCTGCTCGCTTCGTCAATCTAAGGGGCGTCACATACACTGGGTACTTCCATAGCCAGCCAAGATAAGGCTGCTCCAGAGGAAAGTTCTCAATGGGAGTAAGAGGCGAAATAAAGGCATGAAGTCGGCTGCTGTTCCGCGTTGCGTGGATAGCGGGCCGTAGCGCAGTATCTAATACAACAATCGAGGGATCCACCTCGTCGATTATATCTATGATATATTTAGATGTCTTATTTATGCATCTTAATCTCACCTCAGAAATATTCAAATACCTGTGAACTTATGGAAGAGTCTCATATGTTCTTCGCCCGACCACGGCGAGATATAAGAGGGCATATTTCGAATTATTGTCTTGACTCCGGCGTGACCCGGCGGATGGAGGGGAAGGGCGCTGGTCGGCTCTCCCCCCTGCCTCATAGCAATGGCCATGAGAGAAAGGTCGGGTAGCTCGTGGTAGACGATGCTGCGTGCGGACGACCGCTTCTCGCGGGCTCGCTCCGAAATCCGCTCCAATCTCCGAGCCATCGACGGGAAGGACGCGTAATGCACCTTGACTTCGGGGTGACGCTCCAGCAAGGTGTATGCCGTTGCCACGAGGACATTAGCTATCCCATGCTCGCTATTTGTCAGGAACAGGACGGTGTTGTTGCGGCCTTGGCGGATCGCCGTGATGCGCGGAGCCGTCGGTGGAGTCCACTGACTGGCGATCAGCGCCAACACCGCGACTGTTACGGCTCCAGCGAGAAATAGACCTCTCAACATTATTTGTAGGATTTTCGGATTGCTCGATCTCCCTTCCTCAAGGGGTGTTTTAGAGTGCTCGAGGAGAAGAGACGTGAGAGACGGGGTGATCGGAAGCGGAGTCGAATAACATAAAACTCTTATCAGCATCAGCACGAGTCTCCGGATCGGAGGACTCGATATTTCCATTGAAGTGCTCGATTGGATCATGAATCTGCAGGATAAGCCAGTTCCGAGGGGTCCGTGATTGCTACCCTAGCCTGATCCGCTCCATGTCGATGTGTGAATGAGACGACGACATACATACATATCTCAGCTAACCCTCTCGCACTGAAGGCCTACTAATGTTAATGAAGAAGTACCTTGATCTTCTTGATATCATCTGTAAATGACAGCTTTAGCACATGGAATATGCTACTGAATGTTATTTTGAGAATGCTGGTCTATGGAAATCATTGCCTGATCTGCATCTACATGAACTAAAGCTGACAAGATGTTGGAGTCGTGATAAATCATGTCAGCTACATGCATGCGCTAGTTTAGTCGGACTCTAATATTCCCAATCTTATTGAAAATGCTGGCTTGTGAGTATTAGTGAGTAATAAACACAGAGTGAATTTACGATATCTCATGACTATGTGACTGAACTCACGCCTTACTCATGATTGATGTCTCTAAATTAGCTCAGCGTCCCAGAGAAAACTTCGCATTTGAGTTAGCTAGGCATGAGTATCCATGTCTGCCTGCCAGAGATTCGCAGTTTCCATTCTAGAGTCCCGAATGTACGACACTGTGAATGTATCGAGACGTTGCTTGTATTCAACTACTTATTAATAATGCCAATGAATTGTGAAGTCTTGATTGTCTTGGGAAGAATCGCTCAAGCTCTCCTCTCAATAAGCTGTCGTGGGAATATTGCCTTAGTTGCCAATAAGCATTCGTCACTTAAAACCTCACAGTCGTTTACAGCGTACTGATATTAAACGTAGCGTGAGTCAGTAAGGGCAAGATACCAGCCCGGCACTTAGATGGGAACTAATAACAGCTTATGATATTGACGGTCCTACAATATCGGCGACTGAGCCCAATAAAAGTTGTAGAATTGCTAAAAAGCAAGGTTCGCGGTCGCTCACTTATCCCTCACGGAGCAGCTGCCACACAATTATTAAGAAGGTGATAGTAAGTAGAAATCCCATATCGATGTTAGAATATTTTATGCATATGTCTATAAGTTGAGTAACTAAATAGGGGTTAAAGGGAAAAGGATAAGAAGACGAAAAGAGAAGTGACCATCGAGGGAATCGAATCCCCGATAATACCTAGCGATACGGATTAAAGATATTGTATAAGTATATTGACGCTGAGAACTAGAATTACAATCGCTAGGCCGTACCAACTTCGCCAGAAGATCCTAATGTTAAAACCTTCTATATAGTACTCGTTGGGTGTGAGCTACCAGGAGCTGGCCTCGGTTCATTTTGAGTTTGGACCGGCTTCGGGACACGTGGCCTTGGATCAAGGCCTATGAGAATGTCGAAGCCGGTTCTCTTGGGTTCTAGATGGTTCTTTGGTATTGAAATAGCTACGCACGATACTCTTCTTTAACCTTCGTCTCCACATGTTTCTGGGACATGAATTTGTTGTGGAAAGACGCGAGATGAGGCGATGACCTGAGCCCTTCAAGATGCTTACGCAACGTCGTTTCACTGAAATATTATACGTGTCTTAGATCATGCTTTGGCTAATATCATATTAGCGCCCGGATCAGAAAGGATAGACGGGATTGTGAGAATATACGAGCAGTAAGAAGCTATATGGCACTTATTGAGTCTCATAATTTAGAAACCACTCTTGTCTTAGTGTATCAAGGTATAGATTTCATTATCTTGTGTATTGGTTAAGCATAGATCCAGGTGATAGGTATTATCAGGAGAAGATCTTGGCACATATGAATGGTGCAAGCATTGAGCTCTTTTGATAAGTTTATTTTCGGTTGGGATAATGGGAGTATAGAATCAGTATTAGAGCCATGATACCAGCTTGTCACTGAATCGCGAACAAAAGTGTAGCTTTATAAATATAAGAATCAACTTGATAAAGTGGAAGTATTACTATGTATGATTTAAGAGTGCGCGAGGCTTTCCACACAATAACTCACAGGGGGTAACTAACTAGGGTTATGAGACTTCCTAGCTATACGTATGTTATGCTACTTAGTAGGAAAGCTGTGGCATTCTTGTCTTGATAACATTCCGCCATTAATATTAAAGAGCTGCCTGGGCAAAAGGGTGGGGGATCATTATGCGCATTTCTAGATGCATTGCGATGATGAATCATGGTAGTCAGTCAACAAGAGGTTCTAAGTTTAGAACTGAAGACCCAGCGTTCACGATTCTGATCTAAGGATGATGCTAGTTTGTCTCTGGTGAAGTAAATACAACGTACTGAAGTATTGTAAACAGTTCCTTAGCCGTTATCATGGATTAACATATAATGAGTAAGATACTGCCGACGAGCTCCATCTGAACGGTAAAGCGATCACCTGACTAGAATGAAAGGCCAGTAAAGCGAAGTCATAGTAACATATACATAGTAATAATATTTTCGCATGAAAGTTTGTAAGCATTTTCGGGGATAATAGCCCGATATCCATTAATAGAATTAATGCTCTGATTCATAATGACTTGGTGCCATACCTAGTCTAATCGTCGTACTTAACTTGATTAGGTAATTATCTATAGCACTAGCTTTAACTTAGAGATAGACTATACACACAATAACTTCATGGTCAAAAGGAATTGGTTGCTCTTAGTCCTGTATCCTCCACTAAGGCTAGCTTCCGTCAAAGTCGAGGACGCCACATGTTATAGGAAATACGGCGTAAAACACCACTAGGTGAACTTATTTTTGGCTAGAAGTTCGTGACAATCACTTTAAATCTGTCTAATGTGACTAACGGGCAGTAATTCGGCGAATTATAGAATCGAGGAGCAAAAGATAAAAATAATAGAAAGTCCCTCTCTACTAAGCGCCGTTGTCGGTAGATGAGAGCTCTGCTATAGCTGATCCTACACGACGTTTAATGAGGCGGACTATACCGTCGTCTCGCATGGGTTGAGCACCGCGTTTCATTGCCTTTTGCGACGCCGCAGTTCGCGAAGATGCAAAGATGCGCGATTGTGCTCCGGGAGCGAACTGGTGCATGCTTACTCCCGCGACCTGCAAGGACGCGAGACAACTCGACTGGCTATATTCCCTGCGGCAGCTGGCAGCATGAGGCACGACAGGTACGCGTGACTACTATAACTACCTATTGACAAGGAGTGGCGTGGCGTGGCGTACATATGTTGTGTTTCTAGCTATAGCGTCTCACATGTGCACATATGTAGGTTTCTCTTTATGGGCAAGAACATTGATTCAGGTCTCTTATAGACCCTGTAATACAACGAAAGATCCAGAGGGTAAAAGTTGGAAGTTGGCTAGGAGCCATTGCTGCTTCTTCAGGAGAAGGATTCATTCGGGTCGCGCGAATAGAGCCTAGATCTTCCGATGCAGCAGGAACAGGGACACACCGGTGCGGCAGGACGAAGTATGTCCGTTTCTCACCGCTTATTCTGCACGACCATCGCAAGATTAGCTCGTGGACGGCCCTTTCACGTGCTCTGCTTCGGGTCAGCTCGCTTTACCGTAGACCTGGCGGCGACCGACCGACCGACCGACCGACCGGGTATTTAGTGACGTGATAATGATAGCACCATCGCATACAACCTAACATGAGAATTGTGCAACAAACAGACCCATGTCGCAGTCCAGAATAGTAGTCTGCAGCTGTCGTCTCCCGATTATCAAGTTTCTTGGCCAAGAGTCTAGCTTTGAGCTACCTCAGCCGAAGCCAAAAATATCTAGAAAGTCCGGCAAGACAAACGGTCGGGCTCAGCTTAGCTTGGCTAGCGACTTGCGAATCGAGGGAGAACCTCGTATTCGCTAGCAAAATCGTCCTGTCGGCCTACATTACCTGTTTGTCACCTGTCACGCCAAACCCAGACGTAAAATGCACGACATGATAGTTTAGCGCGCATGTCCAAATCCGCGCGTGATATTTGGTTTCTAGAATCTTTACGCCGCTATGCCCAGAACGCCTTCTGGTGGTGACCATCTGCGGTTGTGTGAACCAAGATATTTTTGTGCGGGGCCAATTCACATAAGCGAATCATTCACTTGGGAACGGGAATAGTGATCTGAGAAAATCCAGCAGGGTTTATTATTAATATTAGGTACCGCGAGCTGACGTGTGTCAGCTCTCATGTCCTCTAACATTGGAGCAGCAATAGCTGTAATTCGCGATAAGCGGTCCTTTCCATGGCCAGCACATATGTACCTCCAAGAGCCATTAACCCCCAACAGATTACGATAATGGCGCCGAAAACTCCTAGTATTTTGCCCGATTCAACTTCAGGCGCCCAGCACTGCTTTTTCCAACAACAAAGGTTGAGCAAGGGGTTGACTGTAACAACCCAATGTGCACCAACAAAAAACACGTATGCTAAAACAAAACCAAAAACGCCAATCCATGCAAAGACAGACAGCCTGAGCTTGTCGTCAAATTTTTGACCCTCCGCCAGTTGAAAAGGTGTAAACAGTCGCTATGCAATTTGGAAACAAGATATGATTTGGGTATCTTGATAATGCCAGATAATGCCGTCTTAAAGGAGCGGATGAGATTCTATTTGTTTAGTATAGAAATCGTCGTAAATCGTAAGGAGCGTGAAAGGTCGGTCTCTAGTGCAATACTTGCGTAAGGAGTGTCTATCGGGTATCGTCGTAAGGAGCGTCGTAAGTTCGATCATTATATAATAGTAATTAAGGATAGTATTTGTGGTAAATAGGGAATGTCGTGGTCATTGTGTCGATACAGACATGTCGGTATAGCGAGTCCTGTCAAAGGAACGTGGTGTACAATGGCGTCTGGTGTTGAAAGATTATTAAAAGTTGTAGGTAAAAAGGCTGAAAATGGTCCTGATCAAGCGATGAAAACGATTCGAATCCGTAACCTCAATCTTCTTCTCTCTTGAACTGGATGGGTACTGAAGAGACGGAGGAATTGTGTCGATGATGCGCGAATTGAGGTGAAGGCATGAACACTGGTGATGGTGCCGAGACGGAGAGTGGCGTGGTAGATTCGCTGTAGCCACTAGCTGACCACGGATGGGGTTCGAGAAACGGGGACGGTTTGGTCTCATAGGTAGCAGGGCCCCAGGTGGCAGGGGACTGAACGGCATCCTGCTGAAAGGGAATCTCAAGCGGAGGGTAGCCTGCTGAAGAGGTATGTTGAGCGCTAGCGGTCCTGAGTTCCATGGTCAATCATTTGTTCGCTCTTCAGATCCACACAGGCTGGATTGGAGAGACGAACCCGACACCAAAATTATTATGTCCCGCGCCTAGATGATGACAGTCTGTCATACCCGTGTCAAAAGAACCAAATTCCTCGTGGTCGCTGTACACGATGGACCCCTCACCAAATGTGGATGATGCTGGACTGTAGCCACCGTAAGGTGAAGGAATACTGAGGTATTGTCCGCTGTGGAATGGCGACGAGAGCGCTACAGGACTCACTGCGCTACCACATTCGGGCTCCGGTGCGAGCATAGAGAGGTCTTCGGTACTCCAGCTGAATGCTGGGCTGTCCCCGTAAGGCATGTAAGAACTTGTTGTAGGCGGCGTCCCATGCTCACTCATGTAAAAGTTGGGAGGATCAAACTGTGGGAAAGACTGTGTACGCGTCGGTTGAATCCAGCCTAGCCTCGAGCGGAACTCGGAAATTGTGTCAATAGGAAATTCCATCAACGACATCGGTGTCTGCACATCTCCATCGACGCTTCCCGAGACGTTGATTGAGAAGAGGCGCCGTGCGATCTCCTCGACGGGGCCAATTGCCAGACTGCCAAAATAGGCTGCGCCAATCTCTGGAAAGAGTCGTTCCATCATCATAGCGGCTGTGTAGTAGTGCGAAATTACTAGGAGAGCGCTTGGTGAAGTGCCATTCTCTTTGAGACATCCAACTGGTAGCCAGAAAAGCCAGGTTCGAAGTGGTCGCAATCGATCAAACTGGTCCTCGATGGACTGGATTGGGCTAACCTTGCGAGCGCCCTTGAGGAAAGAGGCAAGCTGTTGGATGGACTGAGGATCTTCCTTCTTGTGCTTCAAATGTGCCTCGACTTTGCCTAGCTGATTAATGGTACGTTGGAAAGCTTCCAAATCCTCTTTATGCGGTTGATGGGGTTTGCGGTCTGGTTGTGGTGACGGAGGAGCAGTAGGAAACGTGCTGCTTTCCGCAATGAACTCCCCAAACTGAGATTCATGCTTCCACGGCTCCATGGCATCAATAACCTTTGCATCATGTTAGTTCGGCCT